TGATTTTTCCTGTTTGCTTTGTTAAAATAATTTTAAATCAAAGTCATCCAACACTGATGTCGGTTTCCAAAGCAACTAAGAAATTCTTAACCAACGGCAATTAGACACAGATCGCTGAAAATCATTTTGGTAGTATTTAAATCAAAGTTCGAATTGCCTACAATCATTGATATAACCTTACAAAAAGACTGTAAATAGCTTTATCTTTTGAAAGTTCTTGATTAAGAATTCTCACACTTAACCCATTAAAATGTAACGAAAGCAGACGTTTGGAAATCTTCGCTTGACCAGGCCAAGGCCTAATCGTATAAATTATGATAAAATACGATGAACGCCATTTGAGATAATATCAAGTAAGCGGTTTTCCTCCGCCCTAATATTAACTATTATTGCTACGTCAAATGGAGATTTTTATGTTTTGTCTTTCTGATATTTGGATATATGTATGACGATATGAGACGGTATGTCTTCGTGGGTTAGTTTTAAAACACTGTATAGATATTATAAAAATAAACACTGAAAATAATTTCAGGGTTTCAAATATGTTTTTCATGACTGCACTTCAAAAAACTAACCACAAAGAAATTAGACGTTAACCTAATTCAATTTTTTGTTAGAAATGGTCATATATATAGTATTTATCTGGTTCTACGTGACTTAAATCACCGCTGAGTTCTTAGTGAATACTATATTTTGCTGATTCGATACTGAAAAAATATTTTAAAAGTATCAATGCTAAGTGCTTTGAAGCATTACACGAATCAATCATAATTGATTGATTGATCGATTACGTATCTAAAACCATTTCAGAAATGATCAATGTTTACAGAGTACTAATTATTGATTGATCTTTAATCTCTTACGACTAATGAACGTAGAATGATTATCCCCTGCAGATATCATTTAGATACAGTTCGCTTCCAGACGTCTCGTTAAACTCGATAAGATAAATAATTATTTAAATCCCCTTCACTGAAATAATTTATTAGCTACTTATTAATTTTAAAGGGATGATTAATTTAGTTACATCACTCTTTGATAAGGCCAAACCTTTTAGCGGGATCATTTTATTTATTGCAGAAATATTTACTTGGGTAATATGGAATGTTTTTCATCAAATACTTGCTGAAGAGGCGATCTTTATCGAAATATAAGAATGAAAGTAGCTTTTTTAAATTATAATAAATTATACTTATTTTTTTATTTGACCTACCCCTTGCCTCTGTTCAAGCCGTTATCTAACGTACAGAACAAGTTTGCATCATTTGAGCAGGTAACCGTAGCATTCAGTCATTTTAGGTGTGAAAAAATTTCGCGAGAAAATTCACGATTATTAATTAGAATTACTATAAGTTTTCTTGTTTCAAGGCCCGTCATTTACCATTGTAGTATGGATATTTCAGCATCTATTTGTTTAAATATTAGTTTAGGTGATAAAAGACCCAAACGTTCCGTATAATCACGTCAATATCAATCGACGTAGGTCAAAATTTGATTTTAAACTCTGGTTTGAACAAAAGCTAATCCATTAAACTGTGAATGTTACAGAATCTGAAAGCTCTACATACGGTATATAGCACGTGCATTCCACTAAGAACCACAGAGTACGAGATGCGGTTAAATGGAGACTTAGCGAATATCTCGCAAGCTACACTAACAATGTAATAGTTTAACAACTTCACGCTATCAACGCTACCCAAAGTGCTCCCTTCCGAAATTAATTAACTAGAGATCCTAAAAATACACGATCGTTTGTTATTTTGTACAAATAAATCACGCTAGCTCGTTAGCGGAGAGTGATTAATTGTAGAAACAATTGTTTAAAGTTTGCAAATGTAAAAATGCTTTGACTTTTTCTACTGTAATACTATCTAGTAATCATCCCTTTTATTCATAACCAAAGCAATTTAATTATACTTTTGTTAAGGTATGACAGCATGAAACTTTTCAATGCTAACTATGTTAATTTAGCTAGCGTTGAAGGTGGAAATAAAGCATTAAATCAAAAATAGATTCAGACCTTTGTCTTAAATATATTTGAGGTCACTTCTTTGTAATGTTAATGCCCATCCCCACTCCCCAAGAAATATGAAGGCGCAGAACAAACTAGAACTACACACGCGCTCGCGAGATACGCTCATGAGAATCACGACCGGTGCGCCCTTCTACGTGAGGAACGTCGATCTGGAGCTCCCTACCATAGCCTAATGGATAAAGTTGGCGTCCACACGCCACTTCGACAAGGCTAAACACCATCCCAACCCGTTGGTGCGTAAAAGCATCAATTATTACCTCTTCCCTAAAAAAAAGCCCGAAGGAGGCTCCGACATTCCTTAACGGATACGAATGTTCCAATCACGATAGCCATGGACAAATTTTAAGCCGCGGCACATAATAATAGCCAAAATCAGATTAGGGAAAAAACCGACTTCACCGGGAAGGCGTCGTCCTTTACATCGCACTTCGCTCACTCCAGTGAGCTTCCGTCCTGCCCATCAGGCGATTGACCACCCCGCGACGGACCAAGCCGAGGTCCGTGTCTCGCAGGAGACGCCCTTGCGCTAGTCGCGGGAAAACTATGTGGAACCAGCTGCCCACTGAAGTATTTCCGAACCAATTCGACTTAGGGTCCTTCATGAAAAGAGCGGACCAATTATTCTTAAAAGGCCGGCAACGCACTTGTGTGCCTCCTGCGCGTTTGCCTCCTATTACATAATTTAAAAAAATGTTAATAATTCTTGTAATTTTACCAAATAACCTTATCAATATTATATAAAGGCGAAATGTTGTCAAGTTCCTATAAGGTTCCAAGAATTTTTAAAAACAGAACAGTTATTTTCATCGTTAGCGACGCTCGCAAATCGTTACACGGCAAGAATTTTATAAAAATATAAGTCACAATATTAGAAATATTATACACATTATTTTATCCTTAAGTAAAAGTTTTTTTTAAATTTATTTTCAGATTATACTGACTAGAACCGATGTTCATGGTGTTTGGGGCTGAGTGCTATAAGGGTTTGAATAATTTATTAAGTTTTACTTATAAATTTAACGTCTGTCTTTCACTGTCATTTTTGGCTGAGTTAGTCCAAACTGATTGATTGATTCATAATAACGTTATCGTTAAACTCGTTAGTTTAAGAAAAAGTTATTGACTCCATATTAGAAATAAATCATTCTTCACAGACAGGTTATAAAAGCTAAGCAATGTCAAATCTATCATACCTATGACCTAAGAAGTCATCCATCACGAACGCGTCAAACTGTACCTGGAATGTCAGCTTCGAGAGTACGGATACCAGACTGGTATTACATTAGTTCCACTAAAATGCATTCGCTGTGAAGAACATCGAATTCGGAAATTCAGCTGTATTTCTTTTGTTTTATGGAAATATTATGATTTTATAATAATGAAATGATATTGTATCATTATATATATATATATACTAGCAGACCGGCCAAGCGCTGCTGTGGCTAAGGTTTTAGTTATATTACATAGTACTACTATGTAATATAACTAAAACCTTACCTATTCAAGGGAAACGGTAGGAGAACATCAGTCATGGGGACCACCATGCTGTTTTGGTAGTAATGCCATTAAATTGTAGATTATGTGAAACGTTGGTAATTTCAACACAGCGCCATCAGAATTGTGACTATCAAATAATAAACAAATATTTTGCAATAAAATAATATTGCGGGTATAAATTGAGATGTAAGCTATCTTATCTTTTAAGTTAGATCAAACTGCACACGGTGTGCAAATTTCAATGAAATCGGTTCGGTAGTTTAGGAGTCCATAGCGGACAAACAACGTGACACGTAATTTATATATATTAAGATATCATCATATAACATTAATTGTTTCATGTCGATCACTGAAAGTTAATCTACTTGCCTATAAGATAATGCAACAGACCTGCGTCTATGAAGTCAATTGGTCCATACACCATACTTTAAACATCGAAGTAAATTTCTATTTAACAATGAAAATCAAACTACTCTGACTATAAGTAGGTTAAAATAATATTCAGCAATAATTCAATGATAGCAGAGATACAAAAAATGGCTTTTTATTACCTATTTTACATAATTATTTGCTCAAGACGAAACAGTTGCCAATATCGAGTAAGGTTGTTTATACTTCAAAGGGAATTTAATCAATTCCAATATGAATTGGAGAAGAAACGTACAAAGCCACTTGAGAAATACAATAGGTGTTTACACTAACAAAGAATGAAATGAATTCTTAAGAATGTTTGATATAAAAATGTAAACGATCAGTACCCGGAAACTAAATTTAAATAAATATTAATAAAACTAATTTTTGAAAAAAGAATATCATCCTAAAGACAGTCTGTCACGGAAATTAAACACTCCAATAGGCTTTACATGAATCTGATAAAACGGCGGTCGATTTCTCGAGTGACTGAGGCAAATCCATTGTGAGTTGATCTTCTGTGCAATGAACGGGTGACACACTTCTGTTATAACAAAACTGTCAACCCAACTAAAGATTAGGTCAATGCATGCTTGAGTTTCGTGAGCTACATAAATGCAGAGAAATGGAACACCTTCGCAAACATAGATTTTAGTTTGAAGTGCATTGGGTGTCATATCGAGCTGGCGGTACGGTCGCTGTCGAGTTTGACTGCGTTCAAACATTGTGTATTGTATAATGTGTATATTAACAATATAAAGTATTTTGTATTGTCTTATGATTTTTGAAAACTAAAACCTGTTAGGTTGGTTATAGTTTAATTGTTCTAAATTAGTTTTTACTATCGACAATAACTTTAGCACAAATTTATTAGCAGTTTTGCATACGTATGATAAAGACGGCTGTATCTGACAGCTTAAATGATTACATTTTCTGTACATCTGGTACACTACACAAAATTTAATTGCAGCAATCATTCCGGGCTCACAAATATCTAAAAGATTAATCGAGTAAAAATATGTAGGTAATAAAGTAAAACTATCATATAGAAGTATATCTAGTACTCACATTCGTCGTGATCTTTGGCGGTGACTGTGAGAACAGTGTGCTGTATATCTTCATTTTCGTCGACTTCAGCTTCGTACAACTCCTTATCGAAATACGGCGGGTTGTCATTCTTGTCTGCTATTCCAATACGGATGAATTTTGTCACTGCAAACAAAACATAATTATAAAATAGACAACATATATAGAGATATTAAGTATAAGTGGAGATTTAAATTTCCTCATTCATAAAAAAAATAGAGCACCATTCACTTATTTATTTAAACATTGTTTACGCTGTGATAAAAAGTGGTGTAAAAAGATGTATTTTTATATGAATAAATGTGTGAGCTTAGCATTATTAAGGCATAAGACCCTTATTTTAAAAACTAAATGGGTCTTATACCATCGATGACTCAAGTATTCATTTGTCTGAATATGTCAATTATTTAGTTAAAGATAAAAGGCAGTCATCGCAGTGCATGGACCGGATACCACTTCCAATTATTTTAAAGGAGGAGTAAGCTCTCTTTTAAAATAATTGGAGGTGGTATCTTCCAGAGAGGACCTCCACCGGAAGTCGATTCCAAGGTGCACTAGTTTTTTTTTAAAGCACCGAGGGAGGCGGACAGTGGATTTCCAACCATCATGATGGTGCGGATGAAATCTGTAATTATTACGTCTCTACGTAGACGATTATTCCAATCCGTAATACAATGGATATTGGCAAGACTAACCCTATTATAAGATTAGCCCTATTGTAAGATTTATTTAGTTTTTATGAGTCAGTATTTGAAAAAAGAAAAGCACAACACGACAAAATATCGCCCATCATTCTAACCACTTTTTAACCGATAAAATCTCGTGGTTACATATTATATAAAATTGGATCCTTCGGATTCAGACAATTTACATGATAAAATAATGCACTTGAAGCATCTATTCAAAGTCATTAATTAAACGCATTGAGGATTTCGAAGGAATTTAATTAATGAACGTCTATTTATTGAGAAAATAATAGAATGACAGGTGAAGCCTACATAATGGAGTTGTGTCGGGCGTTAGTTAAGTTTTATTACTTATTTGCACTTACAAAGATAAAACATAAAAGTCACTGCGAGCAATCGCTAAAAGATGTAAGGGGTTATTTATTAAGATATGATGTGGAATATATTCAGAAGAATCTAATTTTGAAAAGAGAAAATGGAAAATGGACTAAGGATGTAATAGAGTGGTATCCGAGAAACGGGAAAAGAAAACGAGGAGGTCAAGTTAAAAGATGGGTGGACGATCTGCCAAAAGGATGGAGAAGGTCTGCCAAGGATACAGAGATGTGGAAACGATTGGGGGAGGCCTATGTCGACAGACAACCTGACCAAAGTGGTTGATAATAAATAATTATTATTTCGCTGTGTAAATTAGATTTAAGAATGCTACTGATAAATAAGAATAGCATGTAACTTAAAATGGTCAGTGAATAAAGGGCTTTTATTAATTTGGAATAAAAACCTCCGTAATGTTAATTTGTCATTTGTTTTATTCATGTAACAATTAGGGAGAGTGATAAGAGACAGTTAGGAAGTACATACTGTTATTTATTAAGGTTATGAAGTTCTAATGTGGTTCTGATTGTACCGTGTCTTATGCTTGATGAGATATAAGAAATTGTTACTATATTTTATTCTATTGAAATAAGAAATTTAAATTTTTATAAACACTAACATATTTTAGTTAAATCTCGATATAATGTTTTTCTTTAACAATAACCTTAACAAGTTATATTTATAAACGAGTCAAATTAACAAAAGATTATTTTTAACTATAGTTATTTAAACTATGAATGTAGCAACATCTATTTATGTTTCTTAGTTAAATATTTTTCTTTACAAGCATAATACTAGCCCTGAAGTTTAATCTGGTAAAAATACCGGATGTCCAACATCCGGATTAAGTGTTTAATAAACAGAAACAAATAAGTATTATACATTAAGCGATTATAATGATGAAAGCACAATAGTTAGGTTAAAAGCAGGGTTGAAGTTCAGCGTTCTACAAATAGTGCATTATGTACGATTGTCATTCCCATTTGCTGCACGATCGATGAGCACAGCGGTTGCATTACAGCATTTATAATACCGTCTTCCAAATGCAGGTTGCGTTCATTTAATCAGTGAGAATAAATACAATTTATTTCCTGAATAAGTTTAAAACTGTTTCACCTACTTCGTTCGAGAGATATCTTCAGATAAAGTTCGTTGAGCAAACTTTCTGAAGCCAAAATCAACTTAAAGAGTGCAGCACTCTATTACGTTATTACTTCGACACCTGTTTCAATATTACGAACATTATTTAACACAGCTAATTTTGTACGTCATTATCTTGATAGTTGAATTGAAATTATAAATTATTGCGGTCTTGCATGAATAATTCAGAAATGATTTTCGTTCTGTTGTTCCCGTAGAATTGGGAAACGGTTTTAATTCAATATTCGAATATTTAATATATAAGTTGTTATCACGAAAAGCTCCCAAATGATTCGTTGGAAATTACATAGCAAATACGTCAATGCAGTCTAGGAATTTCCTGAAATGGGTAATGGGTTCCAATGACTTTATATAAAAATAACGCCGATTTAACATATTTTAAAGTTAAGAGACCCTTAAAAATACAATGAAAAACGAAGAAGTATTGCTTATAATTTTTTACGGCTGAGTTAAAGGAATGATAAATTAGGGGACGTCCTCAAGAAAATTTTCTTTAGCCTTAATATACAAACACTTTGTGGTTTTTCCACCCTAATCCGACCCACATGTTGATGTCATAAAACTTCTGCGCCTGCCTTAGGGTCGTGATAAAATAATTTATGCCTCGGTGCGAACATTAATATAATATTTTTCCGTTCTGTTGGCAAAATTGTTTTTTATTAGAGTTTATTATGTTAATTTTTTTTCATACTTTTAATGAGGAATATAGTTTATTATTTCGATTTGCTATTT